GAAGAAAATACATTTCCGAACTTACGGAGCAAGGAAATTTTCACAGCATGCCTGATAATATTTTTTCTTCTGGAGAAAGTCTTGTTTGTTTTATTTAGACAAGAATAAAAGCAGATTTAATTTTTTATTAACCATTTTAGGGCAATATTATTAGCCCCTTTAAGCTATTTTTTCAGTGGTCTACAGAACAAACTATTATGATTAGAAATGTGTTGAAGAAAACTTCTCTCTGTTAAAAACAAATTGGGGAAAAAAATAACCAGGGAGGAAAATAATTCAGGAGGGCTAATAATTCTGACTTTAACTGTACATACATACATACATACATATAGTGTTCGGAAAAAAATACTTAAGAAAGTAATGCATTACAATATTGAGTTACTCCCCAAAAAAGTAACTAGTTACGTTATTTAGTTACTTTTTTATGGTAAGTAGTAATGTGTTGCGTTAATTTTGAGTTACTTTTACTTGATCTCTTTTAGAACTTGCAGGGGGATTTTTTTTCTTTCTTCTTTAAACAGAGGAGCTCTACTGTATAACCTTTATTTACCTTTAAAAAATATGTTAAAAAAGAATGTTGGATAACTTACTGACCCCAGAGCTCAACATGCAGTAAATACAGGTTAATGAAAGTTTAAAGCAATGCATTTGCTACTTTTGTACATTTTGTCTCTTAATAAGTAAAATCTCCGTCCTTTCAGAAAATCCTCTTTTTCTTTTCTTCCATGTGTTCAAAATAATGAGAAATTTCCATGGCTGAAATGTAAGGCTCTGCTGTCTCCATTTCTGTTCTGATTCAATGTGACTGAACATTTTAATTCAGCAATTTATTTTAAAGTGAATTAACTCAAATAAAAGTAACTCAAATATTATTACTTAAATTTTTAAAGTGGTGTTGCTTCACTTGTTACTAGAAAAGTAATATCATTACGAAACCCGCATTACATGTAATGCGTTAAACCACCAACATTGTATATACAGTTGAAGTCAGAATTTTTAGCCCCTCTTTGATTTTTTTTCTTTTTTAAATATTTCCTAAATGATGATTAACAGAGCAAAGACATTTTCACAATATGTCTGATAATATTTTTTCTTCTGGAGAAAGTCTTGTTTTATTTCGGCTAGAATAAAAGCTGATTTAATTTAAAAAAAAACATTTTAGGGACAAAATTATTAGCACCTTTAAGCTATTTTTAACTAACCTGCCTAGTTAACCTAAATAACCTAGTTAAGCCTTTAAATGTCACTTTAAGCAGTATAGAAGTGTCTTGAAAAATATCTAGTCAAATATTAATAACTTTGTCAAAAATAAAATAAATCAGTTATTAGAAATGAGTTATTAAAACTGTTATTTTTAGAAATGTCCTGAAAAAAATCTGCTCTCCATTAAACAGAAATTGGGGGAAAAATTAAACAGGGGGGCTAATAATTCTGACTTCAACTATATATAAAACATTTTTGTTTAAATGGTCAAAAATTGTATTTATAGAAAATACATTGATGTAAAAATATTTTAATATTAATATTTTTGCTATTTTTTATGTTTTAAAATGTATTTAAAAATATATGAATATGTGTTGTTGTTTTTTTTACCATATAGGATCAGATGCAGACTTTTAATGAGTATTGTGATTTCAGTAGCTGCCCAAATCACTGTGTTTGATCATCAGATCAATGTCAATTCTTGTTTATTAAGACTCAGTTTCACTAAACATATCAGCTGATTGCTCTTGCACAGTGTAGAAAACTAAAATGTCCAATGTGTATTCAGTGTTGAGTGGTCTGCAGGGTGACGTAATGGTTAATAACACCTTACAATGTCATTCTTTCACAAACATGAAGGTTTCGCCACCTCTGTTTCCACATTCCTGTCTTACAGTCTGCATTGCACGCACACAAATGCAAAACACAGGATACACACTTGGTGCTAAGCTTTTGTCTAAAATCTCAGAACAATTAAGTCAAAGAGCATGAAACAGAAAGCAAAGGGCTCGTCCTCAAAGGCCCCTGGTGACTTCAAACAGGTAAACTCAACGGTTTCACCCTACATCTCACACCTCGCTCTGCGGCTGCTCTCTCATTGCTCAGAACAAAAGATGGGAAATAGGTTTTTTTTTTTGTGTGTATTGATTTTGACCACTGATCTATACGCAGAATAAGGCGGGGGTGGAGGTCTCACTGACATAGAAGAAACTTTTTGGCTTCCCCAAAGAACATTTTAGAGAAAAGTTCTTTTAAGGTTCTACCTTTTTAATCAAAAACACATTTTAATAGTGTGTAGAAATACATGTATCAATGTCAATTAATAAACTTGATTTTTTAAGCTTGTAAATGCATGGTAGGTTACTAACCAATGTTACTGATTACAAATTACAGGTTGAAAACTGCAGTCTAAAATCCGGACTATACTTTTAGATTGCTTTTGACCAAACTGGTTGATATTCTATAGTACTTTGTCCCTAAATTCTTAAATAACAAATTAATGTATAAGACAATTTTGTCAACACATTATTCATAGGTAAACTGTGTGACAATCAGTGGTGCAAAAACAAATTACAAATACTCAAATGACTGTAATTGAGTAGTTTTTCCTAAGGAATTGTAATTTACTAAGTAGTTTTAAAATGTGTATTTTTACTTTCCCTTGAGTACATTTTTAGTGCTGTACCAGAACTTTTACTCCACTACTAACCTTCCACCTGCAGTCACTACTTTATTCTTGTCTATGGGGATTAGAAAAATCAGTCCTGTGTTTCCTGTGTAATCAAATCACGCATAGAAGATAAATCACATTATAATGAACAACCTCAAGACATGGGCGATTTATAAATGCAGCAAGCTGTTTGAAAAGCAATAAAAGTGTCCAAAAAGATGTCCAAAATCTTTACACGCACTGATCCAGAGACTGTTCAGATGCATGTCACTGATGAGAAGAAGATGGATGTTTATTGTATGTTGACCGAAATGGTCTTAAACACCCAGCAGGCACAAGACGTCTTCATGACATCAGATTGACGTTGTACCCCAATGTCGTGGGGACATCGGGTTGACATCAAAAGCAACATCAGGCATCAAAATAACCCAACATCAAAATAATGTACATTGACTAGCCTTTTTGGTCACCTGACCTCCTAAATCTAACCTAATTAACGCCTTATGACGTTGTGTGCTTGCTGGGCTATAACTAAATGAAGTACAGAATGTTACATTCACACACATCCACAAATTACATGTAAAGGCATCAGCTTTTTACAGCGTGATACTCACTACTCACTACACTTGAGTACTGTAGAAACTTTTTACTCATACTTTGAGTAATCATTACAACAGATACTTTTACTGTACTTGCACCACATTTTTAGGGAAGTAATGGCGCTTGAGTTGATTTTTCAGTACTCTTTCCACCACTGTGTGACAATAGAATATATTTTTAGTCAAAAGAATAAAAGAGAATCAAAAATGAGGCTTAATTCATTGAATTAAATTTAATTTGATTGCATTTTAAAAAGTAGTGTAACTACATGGAACAGGATTACTTTCTTCAAATCATACTGTTGTATCTGTAATGTGAACTTAGAGAGCATTACTTGCACTGACTTGTCAGTTTCCATGTTTGCGAAGTAAATAAATAATCAGTGGTGGAAAGAGTACTGACAAATTGTCCTCAATTAAAAGTACCATTACTTGCCTAAAAATGTAGTGCGAGTAGAGTAAAAGTATTTGTTGTAAAGATTACACAGAGTAAAAAGTAGCCCTTCCAAAGTACTCAAGAGTAGTGAGCAGTGAGTGCATGTGTGTGTGTGTAAACGTAACATTCTGTAGTGCATTTAGTGATTGTTTAAGGTCATTTGTTGATTTCAGACAACATACAACAGACATCCTTCATCTTTTCATCATTGACATGTTGTTTAAACAGTCTCTGGGTCATTGCGTTGACGTGTAATGATTTTGTGTCTTGAGGTTGTTCTGTATGATGCGATTTGATTGGATGGCAATCACAGAACTAAATATTTTACTTCTAGTACTCTACTTCTTCTCTACTAGACAAACCCTATAGACGAGAAAAATAGTTTAGTAGTGACTGCAGATTGAAGGAAAACAGTGGACTGAAAGTACCGATACAGCACTAAAAATGTACTGATGTGGTGAAAGTACTAGTGAACATTTTGAAAACTACTTAGAAAGTATTCTTGAGAAAAACTACTCAATAACAGTATTTTAATTATTTGTACTTTGTTACTTTACACCACATAAATGCATAAATAATCCAAGACTGTATTTGCCCCTCCAATAATTAAATTTCCCACTCCATGACTCCAAAATTTCAACCAAAATAGGGCCAGCGGGCCAAAGTTGGCCCATGGTAACCTTTGATTTGGCCATACCATCTGAAAAGAGAGGGAGAAGGATGGGGAGGTGGTTGGGGCGAATGTCTTTGACAGTAATCGTCATTCCGGATTAACATTAACTTTTGTTTCTTTGTTTTATTACTGAGGTACAAAATAACCAACTGAAATGAATCAGACTTTAAACATATAAATGGTGTCACTTGACAGATGCACAAGACATCTGCGAGCAAATTGAAGGCTACGTTCACACTGCAGGCAAACGTGGCACGAATCTGATTTTTTCCCCCTCATGTGACTCAGCTGATGACAGTGTGAACAGCCCAAACCGCATAGAATCTGATCTTTTCAGGTCAGATCTAAAGTAAGCTTGATTCAGCATTATTGTCATAATTTAGTTTATGTTTTACTGTAAAAAAAAATAATCTTAAATGTTAAAAATGTTACTGCATTATATGATTTAGAGCAACGTTTTCTAGTTATTTTTAAATATTACCAAAAGTATTATTAGAAAATTAGCCCAAATTTAATACAGTTTAGTATTTATTCAGCCCACACCCCTCAAAGTTTGGGCACCCCTGGTCTCAACTATATATAGTGCTGGGATTGTAGAGTCACTGAGGTTCAACAAAGGGTCAAACGAAACGGAAAACATCCCTGTGGCCTTCAGCCTCTCTCACATAAACTCACCACAGAAAAGAACCACACGCGTGTTTGTGATTATATCACAAGCCTGTTTAGTTTATTATTCGATACGGCGAAGTCGCGTATTTTTACAGCACAACGTGCTAACAAAACCTGCTGATTACGCCTCTGAATACGGCAGGATTTGTTGATCGGATTAGGAGCCTGGGGGGCATTTGTGTTATTCTCACTCCATTAAGGAGAACTGGTTTGTTTGATCTTAATCCGGACTAATTCGTCCACAACATGCCAAACAATAAAATTCCAGTTGGCAGTTTCGGCCACTGATGGCCCATTGCTAGATCAATCAGCAGCCTCTTCTGGATGGAGGTTTGTCCTGACACATTTCTGCAGTTTGTATATGCGAGGACGAGCGGAATCAAAGAGACGCTTTTCTCGCCTTTGCGTGGAGTGTCCGAGCTGCGCGATCTGCTCTCAGAGGTGAGGGATATGTTATTTCTGATTGTCTCGGTGATGATGAGTATGACCGCTCGAGAAGCTGTGAACATTCACACCTATGTGCTGATCAGACGAGAGTGATTAGCACTGGCAGGACTGTCTGTGCTCCGCCTTTCACGCGGGCTCCTCTGCACTCCGCCGCTGCTGCACGTTCAGCTCAGCGCAATAAACATCCAACTCAGATGACAGTGTTACTTAGTTTTATGCGTGTTAACTCCACCATAAACAACTATTGGCTCTCTTTATTGAATAAAAAGTTTGGGCTCGTCCGGGATTTGAACCCGGGACCTCTCGCACCCTAAGCGAGAATCATACCCCTAGACCAACGAGCCGACGTGTTGGTTTGCCGTCTTTTTTCACTTAACATTATGACGGTAGCGTACAATGGTGATACATAAAACATAAAAGAACTGAAATATGAGGTTTCGATTTACTTTATATTGTGTATTTTTTTATTATACTATATATATATACTGTTTTTCTTTCTCACCACTCAGTAACCCAAAAAAGAAAACACGGCGACGTGTTACAAGAGCTGTAAGGTTTATTTTTATTTTTTTAATGCTAATTCTCTGATGATTGACATGTGATGGTCTCAGCAGCAGCAGCTCCTGCACGTCAGCAGTGGCCTACCGCTGTTTAAGATGTTTGCGCTTGTAGGCTTGAGGAACGAGAAATCCGCCTTATCTGCTGGGAAAAGCCGAATCAAACAGATTTCAATGTAAATGAACGGGTTGCTGATCCCGTTTGGACAGAAATCTTCAAAAGATTTAAAGCCCAATTGTTTCCTCTGGGAAGGCGAACACCCTGAAAAGCTGAGCTTTCCAGATGATAATGGCTTTTCTTACACTTAACCTCGTCAAATCGGTTAAAACGTTGTTTACTCACCAGGCCAGGCAAAATAACAACAACCCATTAACTCCAGCATGATAATTCATATATAAATGCATTGTTTGGGTGGTCGACTGACAAATGTGAGACATATCATATGTGTTTGATAACCAACACTTCACAGAGCCTTGATAATCTCTCATTTGCAGATTTGGCATATGTTGTTTGTTTAAGTGGCGTGACCGCACGATATGGCTCATTTTGTTCTTTTTCAGTATGTTTCCCCTGCCTAAATGAACTGTAGTAAATAGTTGCTAATCTTTCCGCGCGCTTGTTGAATCTGAATGTGGCCCCGCCCACCCGCGGAGGGGGCGGGTCGAGCCTCATAGCTGAACTATGAAAGAGAGAGAGAGACCCACAGTTACTCGGACACACACCAACCTGAGCATTCAGACAGTCCGTGGTGTATCTTGACCGTTGTGGAAAAACTTCACTGGAGTTTCTAAACAGCAAAAGAGCGACATGACAGAATACAGGAACTTTCTTCTGCTTTTCATCACGTCACTGAGCGTCATTTATCCATGCACAGGAATATCATGGCTGTAAGTATTAATTATTTGTTTATAAAACACTCTATATAAAATCCACAATGGCTTTAATACAAAAATGTATTATACCATGGTTGAGCTACACTAACCACAGGAAATCCGTATTTGTAATAATTCTGTGGTTAATTGTAATCACACGGTTACTTCACCTGTGGGACCTATACTTACTAAATAAAACGAAAATAAACGTTTATTTTCATAAGTGATATAGGCCCATGAGATGGATTACCTGGGTTTGTGTTATTTGATAGCCTGTTTGTTTTATATTCCAGCATAGGCTGTGTGTAAAACTCTCACTGCGCTAAATGATTCAAGAACCGAATCAAATACTTTAAGCGAGTTTATATGAACCACCTCATTTAAATCTACTGTACAGTTGACGAATTTGAGCCTGTGGTTTCTCTCAAAGTATTCCTCTTTTTGTATTCAGCATTACAACAAATGATAAGATGTCATTGTTTTGTTGAACTCGCTAGTAATCTGGTCAATTACCTTGTTGAAAACACGTCGAGAGATAGCGCAATCCAATAAAGCCAGACGAGATAAATCGATATGTCTCATTGAGCTTGTTTGTATTTGCAGTGGTTTGACGATAAACGGGAGCTCGGTGGGCTGGAATCAGACGCACCACTGTAAACTTCTGGACGGGCTCGTTCCCGATCAGCAGCAGCTCTGCAAGCGCAACCTCGAGCTCATGCACAGCATTGTACGCGCGGCCAGACTCACCAAGAGCGCGTGCACGAGCTCCTTCAGTGATATGCGCTGGAACTGCTCGTCCATCGAGAGCGCGCCACACTTCACCCCTGACCTGGCCAAAGGTAAACTTACTTTTAATTTGCCATTGCACACTTTCTCAGTTAGACAGAATAACCATGTTTGTCTTGTGTTTATCTATGTATACAAACGATCACATTTTAACCAATAAAGGGATAGTAGATACAGAAAAAGAAAATGCTCTCATCATGTTCTGGCCCTCCATTGTTCTGCACATATTTGAGTTTTTTTAAAGAATAGAAAAAAGATGTTTTTGGGGAAAAGTGGTAGAGCCCTACATTTAAGCCCGATGGGGCCCGACTTTTTAATGCCCCTAAGGCCAGGCTTCAGGTCAATTTTCACATCATAGCTAGCATGCATATCAGGCTTCAGACCTGCTTTAGAAAAAACTTCAAAAATTTTCCAAAAAAAAACAATGAGATTCAATGTGTGCAGCCTGGAAGCACCTTTGATGCCTTGTGCATAGAGATTTCCAGCCACATGCAATAGAGAACAAGAGAGAAATTGCCAATGGCGAACTTAAAACTGTGAAAAAATGAAAGGCAAACCTCTGGTCAACTTTTCAAATAGTGACAACTTTAGATGATGAACCAACTGGTTATGCACAACTTGTAAATTGACTAAACTTACTGTGGACCACACACTGATTGGATATCGATGTCAATTAAAAACTAAAACTTACATTTAAAAAAACAAACAAAAAAAAACTCCAAACATTTCCCGAAATCATGCTGATTAAAAAAACTAAACGAAAACACATCAAGTTTCTATTAAATACAAATCTGGTCTATTTTAGTGGCTGTTACTGTATAAACTGTTTGGCGAGAAAAGAGGCGGGCTTTGGGTCGGACTCGGGCCAAAATTTTTGATAAGCGTTTAGACAAGGGCTGGCTTTGATTTAAGGCCTGTGCACGGCTCCAAAAAGTAGAAACTGCTAGCCATTGACTTCCATAGTATTTTTCTACTATGAATTTCAATAGTTAACAACTGATTTCCAACATTTTTCTAATTATCTTCTTTTCTGTTTAATGGAAAAGCAAAATGCATTTTAGTATAATTTTAGTATTTGGGTGATTCCATTAGGACAGATGTGAACAAACAAATAAAAAGGAAAAATACCAGCAGAGTCCAACAGCATCAGGTTTTATTGTTATCATTATAACAATTAAAAAGTACAAAACCATTAGAATGTTTGTGATGGTTTCCAATAGGTTTTTTTTAAGCATGGGAGTATCATCTGTTTGTGTTCAGCTTTTAGATGTATGATAGAAACTGATGATCTAACAGTGTGGTCTCTGTGCAGGGACCCGTGAGGCAGCGTTTGTGTTTTCTCTGGCTGCTGCGGTGGTCAGTCATGCCATAGCTCGTGCCTGTGCATCTGGAGACCTGCCCAGCTGTTCCTGTGCTGCAATGCCGTCAGAGCAGGCGGCTCCTGATTTCCGCTGGGGTGGATGTGGAGATAACCTTCGCTACGGCCTACAGATGGGCTCCGCTTTCTCAGATGCACCAATAAGGAACCGGCGCTCGGGCCCACAGGCCTTTAGACTCATGCAGCTTCACAACAATGCTGTTGGCAGACAGGTAAAGCCTCAACCACATGCTGGATTTCCACAGAAGACTGGCATCATTCACTGTAGACATAGCAGGGTTCCATTCAATTCATTCAGGTTGTCTCAACACAAATCTATTAGGTGACTTAACAATCTGAGTAGATTGAACATAAAACAATCGTTGTCCCAAACATAAAACAACAAGTTGTCCCAAAAAATCTTAAGAGTTGTGTTGATTAAGCTCATTTTACATAAGTAGCATGAACAGGTCACAGTAAATTAATAATGAAAATAGTAATTATTTTTTTGAGTGTTTCGATCAGTATCATGAATCTGTGTGTTCGTGTTTGTAAAGGTGCTTATGGACTCTCTAGAGATGAAGTGCAAATGTCATGGCGTTTCTGGCTCATGCTCTGTAAAGACCTGTTGGAAGGGTCTTCAAGACATCAGCACCATCTCCGCCGACCTCAAGTCTAAATACCTGTCGGCCACCAAGGTGATTCCGCGTCAGATTGGCACACGCCGGCAGCTTGTGCCCCGAGAGATGGAGGTGAGGCCGGTTGGAGAGAATGAACTAGTCTACCTGGTCAGCTCACCGGATTACTGCACACAGAACGCCAAACAGGGGTCACTGGGGACCACAGACAGGTGAGATTGACACGCATCATCAATCAAGATTATTGATCACTGATGAGTTGAGAGGGAGCTATCAGTCTGTAATGAATGAGGGATTATCACTGATCCCACAGACGGGACAGAGCACAGGGTGAAAAGAGGCACATGAATGGAGTGGGTTAAACATTGTCAAGGCGCACAGGCATGAAAACTGATTCTTGAACACAAATGGCCTCAAATGTTGTTGTTTGACTTTTTGGCCAGTGTTAACGTACACCATCAGGGTCTTACAACAGGGTGTTCGTGGGGTCTTAAAAAGAATTAAAAGTTGATAAATCAATTATGAGAAAATGATTTCCCTTAAAAGGTATTAAGAAGTCTTGGTTGTGTTTTTTTTCGAGGTCTTAAATTTTGTTCGAGCGTTTCCAAAGTGTTTGACTCCAAAAAAGCATAAATACATTTATTTTCCTTTTAATATTAACAAGGGCATGCTCGGTCCGCAACCTGGCAGGAGCATATCTGGCCGAGCTTCTCCGTCCGGGTGATGTCACTTAATTTGTAACAAACGCCGGAAGGTGATGTGACGCTCTCCACATGTAGCAAAACCATAGAGCGAAAAAGACGGCAACTGTTTAGGTTAAAGGTTTGATACTGATTATAACTTGGCGATGATGTCTTAAAATATTCTGGGAAGGTCTTTCAAAAGTATAATAAGGTATTGAAATTGCTGCATATACCCTGTACAAAGTCATAAATTCAGTTATAATAAATTAAAGGACATAAAATGAATTGTCTTTTTTATTGACAGGTCTTAATAAGCTGGAGTTAAAATACAGCTTACTGTGATTGTTAAACTTCCAAGGTAGTTTAAAGGCTGTAATGTAAGCAACGTAAGGAATGGAGTATAATTTCATAAAACATTTTTGGTTTTGTTCAAATTTGTATTTAATCTGGGTTTAGTAGACTTCTTTAAACATTTAATATAAAGACGTAGAGAAAAAATTAAATACCACAAAAAAATAAAAATAAATGGTAACCCTTTAGTTTAAGTATGAATTCCCACTAATAACTACTGGCTTACTACCTGAATATTATTCAGACATTGGCTGTTTATTAGTATTTTTAAAGTAAGATCTTAATCTACATCCTATACCTAAACCTAACTACTACCTTACCAACTATTAATTTGCAGAAAATTAATAGTTTCTTCAGCTAAAAGTCTCCCTAAAAACACAATGAAACGCAATCCAAAATTCACGTAAACACCTGTAATAAACACATTTTCCTTGGCTTAGTCTCTCTCTTTCAGAGGTTGCCACATTGGAATGAACCACCTATTTATTCATTCATGCATTCATTTTCCTTTGGCTTAGCCTTTGACTTTCACAGTATTTTTTCTACTAATTCATTTTCTTTTCAGCTTAGTCCCTTTATTAATCAGGGGTCACCATAGGGGAATGAACCACCAACTTATTTAGCATTTGTTTTACAATGCGGATGCCCTTCCAGCTGCAACCCAGTACTGCGAAACAACCATACACACTCATTCACACACATACACTACAGCCAATTTAGTCAATTCACCTTTTGCCCGTCTTTAGAGTGTGGGGGATACTAGAGCACCAGGGGGAAACCCATGTGAACACGGGGAGAACATGCAAACTCCACACAGAAATGCCAAATGACCCAGCCGAGGTTAGAACCAGCAACTTTCTTGCTGTGAGGCGACAGTGCTAACCACTGAGCCACCATGTCGTCTAAAACGCCTATTTATTTTTTATCTAAGGATTTTTTACAAATATTACAGGTATTCCTCTACTTCGGTTAAACATTATTAATTTAATTTGTGTAAAAGCCACCTGAACCAGAAGTTGCTGAGACTTTTATTTCAGTATGTTGATGCACTTTCAAGTGAAACAGAATATTGAGTAGGGGACGAGGCTTTCTTTTTTCACATCATTCTCTTATGATTAACTAACAGTGAGAGGGGCGTTGTTAGGAATATTGTGGCTGAAGCCATCAATTGTCAACAGAAAAGGAACGCCACTCCACAACATGAGGGCTAATGTTCAGAATTTGATTAAAGATTACCAACGTAGGCAACGTTTTTTTATGTGGATTAACTAATTTAATGGATGAGTTGTTAATGTGTGCAAGCAGAATAAACATTGTAAATTTGATTTCACGCAGACTTTCAATGCCATGATTACATGTAAATAATTGTCTATCGCTCTTATCTGCAGGCAGTGTAACAAGACGGCGAGCGGCAGTGAGAGCTGTGGGCTGATGTGTTGTGGACGGGGTTATAATGCCTACACAGAGGTGCTGGTGGAGCGCTGCCAGTGTAAATACCACTGGTGCTGTTACGTGTCCTGCAAAACCTGCAAGCGCACCGTCGAGAGATACGTCTGCAAGTGACAGACCGTCTTCACCAATAGACCTTGTGTGACCCTTTTTTTTTAGAGCCATAAGTGAGTGGATAATCCTTTCCCAGGCAGGAAAGTGGAGAAAGAAGAGCCGGAGTTGAGGAATATGGGATGGTGAAAGAGTTAATGAATGGCTGTAGACAAAGAACCCTGCAGTGAGACCCTTCAGGCTCCCCACCGAAAACCAGAGATAAGTAGAGGCAAAACTCATCAACTCCGGCACTGAGGGGAAGAGACTGGGGGAAGGGACTGTGCTGGGAAGACACTTACTTTACTGTGGTAAAACTTCACGCGTTGATGGCCTGCCCGGATCGGTTTTGTTTTGGTCAGATGAATTTCACGAGCTGGACGTGATGGACATCAGATTAGTTCGGTTGACGTCAGATGTTCTCTGCACTCAGTATTGATTTATGAAAGGTTGACGACACTATTTTTATAGTAAAGTAACTTACAGCAATAGGACAAACGAGACTGCTTGGAAATTAACAACTTCTAGTTGTGTGTTTGAGTAAAAAATAGTTTTGTTTTGCAAAATACTGATGATTTTGTAGTCATTCAGAGCAGAAAATGATTATGATATTTTAAATTGTTTTAAATAACAAAAAAAAATGCCATGTGTATGTTAATTTTTCCAATATTTTAATTTCAGATAAGTCATTACAGTGGAATACCCTGGATTTGTAGACACTTTGTTATTCTGACCAGTTGTCATTTAGAGAGAGAAAAAAACACTGTAAATGACCATATTTAATTTCTCAAATTACAGAATAATTTTGATATTAACATTTTACTCAAGCACATAAATAGAAAAAAAAACTGTTTGAAAAACATTTTTCCATAGCTATTTTTGTGATGTCTATTAATATTTTCATTGCATTCATAAAAAGAAAAATGAAAGCCATGCATTTCAGCCTGAAAAAAAACTTGTACATTGTCTGTAAAAAATGAAAATTTGTATTTATTTTATTAAAATATTTAATGCAAAAATACATTTTTGGGTCATTTTTTAATCCTTTGCATCACGTTGCTCTTATTATGTGACTACATTTTTTCTTTAGGGCAGAAAAGATATTCTGAAACCAAGCCGCACCCATTGACCTTCATTGTATGCACAAAAAAGACAGTTCTCAAAATATCTTTTGTGTTCCACAGAAGAAAGAGACGTTTATTTTTGCATCAAATATCCCGTGAAAATCTTTCTTCCGCTCTATCTAAGTGACTTGGAGAAGGTTTACATTGAAGACAATCTCTCATCAGCATTTTATAACAGCTCTGCATCTGATGGGTAGTGTTTTGTCTGATCTCTCATCAACATTCCTTCACATCAAAGACATTTTCAGGATATCAGCGCTATATAGAAAGATTGAAAAGTCAGATAGTAAGCATTCAACAGGAGAAATAGACAGAGGGCTAACCTGATCCACAGTTCCTTTTGTCCTGCGCTTTGCCTGATTTTTATCTCACCATTGTCACACAAAGACAAAGACACACACACACAGACTCTGGGCTCTTTGCAGGAACCGGGATGAGCCTCAGAGGGGGTTTAGCTTTGCTCAGTGGCTTATAGTTAATATAATTTACATTATATGCAGCAAAGATACTTGCTGATTAAAAAAAACACTGGCATGCTAAATATTAGTAGTTATTTTCCATATACAAAATTTCAGACAAATGACATTTGCTGTTTGTTCAAACTACTTGTATAAAAAAAGCTGAAACAACACATTGCTTATTTATTTATTTATTATATTTAAACTTTTAAACAGGAACACATTAAAAGATAATCTGGCCTGTTTTCTCAGCAGGTTTCTGCTCTGCAGAACATAAAAACATACAGACACCCTAAACATATCATCTATAAACACATGAGAACAGTACAAACAATCACCAAACATACAGAATACAGAGTAACAGGCTACTGTCTCAGTGGCTACAGTGATAGTTGGACCATCAGATGATGAGCATTGGATTTTTTTTTAAAAAGTCTCAGTGTTAGTATTGTTTATAGATGGTGTGGGATCTCATTCCAGGCTTTGGTGAATACATAAAGGAAGAGAAAAAGAAATCATGAGATCTTAAGATTTTTTTATGTTCAATTTACTTAAATGTGTAAAAAAAAAAAAAAAAAAACTTATTTTTTGTTGTTGTTGTCCATGCACTGTAAAAAAAACTTTAATTAAATGTTAAAAAATATATATATAAAAGTTAGGTGGACATATTTTTGAGGTAAAGTTTGAGTTAAATTTCCTCATAAAAAGGGTTTAACTGCATGTTTGGACCTGTTTGTTCAATGAAAGTAAAAAGTCAGTTGAGAAGACTTTTGAATTTTCACTTCTACAATTAAGCGTTTACCGTTGTAAGAAAAAAAAAGAAAAGAAAAAAGTCGACTTAAAATGTTAAAGCAAGCAACTGCAAAGAAACTTCAGTGGTTGTGCCAAATTTTTCCATAAAGTATCCTTGACTTAAAACAGCCTTTTTAGTCAACTTATAGTCAACAAAATAATTTGGCACAACTTCAACCACTGAAGCTTAATAAACTCAAAGTTTCTTTGCAGCCGGTTGCTAACTTAACTCAACTTATTTATTTTTTTTACTGTGTGAACACAATTTGATTGTGTGGGACCCAGCATTTTTTACTATGCAACATTGTACACCCAAAAATGAAAATTCTCTCATCATTCACTCATCCTCCAGTTTCTGTCTTCTCATAATTTTGAAGAATGACGTAACCTGGTAGCCACTGACTTTCATCATATTTTTTTCATCCTACTACAGATGTGCTTTTTCAACCTTTTTGTAAAATATCTTCTTGTACGTTCAATAGATAAAAGGAATTTATAAAGGTTTTGAGCTAATTTAGATGGAGTGAGTGGTGAGTATTATTTTTTTTTATTTGAACTATCATGACTTGGATGAAGCACAATAACTTTATTGGTTTACAATGTTAAAAATGCTGTCTTCCACACATTACATTTTTGTTGGGATAACTTGAAGGAATTAAGTTACCATATACATTTTTACAAATTTAAGTAGATCGAACATAAAACAATTAACTTGCCTCAAATAAACTGAAGAATTGTGTTGTTTCAGCTCATTTATTTTAAATAAGCAGATCAAACAAACAAAAAATAACCTTTTATGAGTGTAAATATCACACTTGCACTATGGTATACTAAAGGGCTTTACATAAACAAGAAGACTAAAATAATCATAACATAATAACACAATAAGTATAATAAAAACAATGAATGATAATTTAAATGATTAAAAATAGATGCAGGTTTTAAAGAAATAATAGAAAAAGAAATAAAGACACAAATAGTGCAAAAACCAATAGTACAAATCCGTCGAACGTAGCTCAGTGCTCATTCAGTAAAGGCACATCTAAACAGATGTGTTTCAGTCTTGATTTGAACATGCCTAATGTTGGAGCACATCTGATCATTTCTGAAAGCTGATTCCAGCAGCGGGTGGTGTTGTAGCTGAAAGAAGTTCACCGTGCTTTGACTGAACTCGTCATTCATTTATTTTATTATCAGCTTAGTCTCTTTATTAATCAGGGGGCTAACTTATCCAGCATATGTTTTACACAGCGGATGCCCTTCCAGCTGCAACCCACCACTGGGAATGACTGAACTCTTGTCAATTCTAATTTACTTAACACTATAATGATCTGAGTAATCTGCTAGATTTGTATAAGGTGAGCATACCTGAAATGTATTGAGGTCCTATAGGCCATTTAGTGATTTATAAACAAGTAATAATACTTAAAAATCTGTTCTGAATGTAACTGGGACATGTGTAAAGAACTGAGGGCTGGTGCTCTAACTTATGGTTCTGAATCCCGACACCAGAATCCTGAGTTGTTTATCATCCACAAACAGTGAGGAACAGCAGACTGTAGACATGCCAGATGCTCTTGATAGCTCAGCGATAAAGGAATGTAATGGAGCTTCTTACTCCGTCTAAAAATATTCTTGCTAAACGCAATGATTCCCTCTCTTTCTCTGTTGACTGTGCACCTGGTGTGAGTCTCTGTGGAATGCAGCTCTCCATTTAACCCATGCCCATGTATTGTTTACCGAGAGCATAACACCACACTCTCACACAATGAGTATTTACACACACAGTCTGAGGAAGAGTTTATTAGTGCTTAGCTGTTTGCAGAGGGACTGTTTAGGAAAACAGATGCAGGTCAGTCCCGTCGATCTCTGCTGACAGACTCATCCTAAGCTCATTTGTTTTTCTGTCACAGTGGGAATTTTACAGTGACTTCTGTTTTTAAACTGAGTTATTTTCGGTCTTGTAATGCTTATCAATTTTCCTTGTGTCAATTATCTTTACAGTCTTCAGGTTTTACTATGAACCTGATACAATTTCTACCTGACTGACAAAATTGATTTTCTTGACTTTTCAGGTCAAGCAAATACATTGCACTTACAAAATAAGGCTTCCTTATACTATATCAGCCTTAATATTTATTTAAAACCCCAAACAAAAATATATAATACATGTGCTTTGCATATTTACAGATAAAGATGTTGGCTGAATCTTATTTTTAATGCTTTTTGCTTTATAATAATAATAATAAGCTTAATAATGGAAAAAAAACCTTCTCGGTTTTCTAAGACTAAAAATATAGTTTTTCCTTCTTTTCCAAAAATTAGCATGTTACACAAATATATGTTACATGAAGATATTCTGTACATTTTATAATGTAAATATATTTATTTATTTTCCTTCCTTTCCTTGGTCTATATTTCAGAGGTAATGACAACAGAATGAATCACAAACTATTACAGCATATGTATTACACAGCGAATGCCCTTCCAGCCACAACCCAGTACTGGAAAACACTCACATTTATACACACACTATGGCCAGTTTAGCTTATTCAATTCACCTTTACCAAATGTCTTTGGACTGTGGGGGAAACCGGAGCACCCGGAGGAAATCCACATGAACATGGGGAGAACATGCAAACTCCACAAAGAAATGCCAACTGGTAAAATAAATATGTATAAAAACTCAAATTTAATTAGTAATTAAGCACTAAACAGCACTTCATTTGTGCAACTTGAAAGGGGATTTTCTCAATATTTTGAACCCTCAGATTTTTAGATTTTCATGTATCTTAGCCAAATATTGTTTTATCCTAACAACATCTAGGGAAAATTATTTATTCAGATTTTAGATATAAATGTCAATATTCCAAAATGTACAATTTATGACTGGTTTTGTTGTCTAAAGTCACATTTCGCTTTCTAAATATTAATTCCTTTCAAGGATGTTCTTTGTATTGTTTTTGTCATAAGAACCTCTGTCACCTTGCAACAGAATTCTGGCTCAGTTTTAAGCCCTTTAAAAATGTTGGTCTCAGCTAGTAAAAATAAAACCATATGCATGTTATAAAAATAAATGCTGCATACACAGCATAGCATTGTTTTAAATCATAGGTCTCAAACTCGATTCCTGGAGGATCGCTGCTCTGCACAGTTCTGCTCCAACCCAGAAACACCGCTGATCTCTCTAATGAAGGTGTTCAGGACTCTTTTGAACACCTCAATTATTTGGATCAGCTGTGTTTAATAGGGTTGGAGCAAAACAGAGCTGCAGCCCTCCGGGAATCGAGTTAGAGACCCATGATTTAAATGTTTGCTCGTCATAAATGACAGATTGTGAACTTATCCTTACACCAACAGGTTCACCATCTGTAGGTTCATTGCTACAAATGGAGTGTGAACGCTCAGCAAACCAAGTCCAAATAAACCCAGAGAACTGAACAAGTGTGAACACAGCCTGGCTCCAGCTCTAGATGTGCATTCCAGTCATTTTGGAAAGGTCGTATTTTAAGTTAAAAACAAATGAGTGCATAAATTATTTATTCAAGTGATAATCATGAGTAGGAAACTTGGAATTTGTGTGGCATGGTGGCTGAGTGGTTAGCACTGGTTGCCTCGCAGCAAGAAGGTTGCTGGTTAGAGTCC